CCTCCAGAAGAAATGGGGGCTCCCACACTGGAGGTTTTAAAGAAGAGATTGGACAGGCGTTGCCTGAAATGGTGTAGGGGGTTGGGCTAGAAGACCTCCAGGGTCCCTTCCAGCTCTGTGATTCTGTGACCAGTCTGGAAAGGCTGGGAGATCTGCTCCAAGGTCCCTGCCAACTCTGGGTTCTTTTTGTTATGCCCAAGCTGCTGTTCTTGGGGATCACCATTAAAATAGATTTCCACGTAAGACCCAACGTAACGGATTATCTGGAGGAAGGACACGATGAAGGCAGCTTCAAGGCTCTCTTGGCATAACCATGTTAATATTAACAGAGGCCCTTCCTCCCTTTCCTTGCCTTCACCCTCTTCTTGGAAGGAGATGCAGAGATAAGGAGGTGTAACTCCCACAGAGGCCCAACAAGAGGCCTCTTGGCTTCCTAGTAGACTTGAACGCTGCCTCTACTCCTTCGTGCAGACACATATGGACAATGGACTGATATTGATTTGATTTTATCCTCTCTCTCTCTCTCTCTTTTTTTTGCCAACATCCCATTAGCTAATGGAAAGGTTAGGAGACTTGGCAGCTTATCTCTGGTGCTGTTGTGTTGCCTAATGAGTTGCTTATCACCAAGCAACATCTGACGACGATTGTCGGCTAATCATTGTTAACAACGGCGAAACCTTCCGGAGTGTGTAGAAGGAGACCTGGGATGTCACGCAACTCAACACTGTCATGTGTTCATTTGCCACTTTGTTCCGGGATCAGGCCCACCACCACCTCGTTCGTGTGATTTCATGGGCCCCACGAAGTCCGTTGCCTCCAATTCCCCCCCTGAGGAACCCCATGGAGGAGAACGGCACCCAGAATCCTTCCCCTTCGTAATACGGGGCATCTTCGACTCAGGACCACAACGGAGCCCAGGCTTCCTGCTGCTAAGTGGAACATTTGTTCAGTGAGTTTTGCTCCGTTTTACAAGAGTGGCTCAGTGAATCGCGGCAGCTGTGCAGTTAGGAAGATGATTGTTAAGGGAATCTGGCTTCCCGATTAACTTGGCTTGTCAGAAGTTTGCAAAAGGGGACCAGGTGACTGGACTGTCTGATTTCCCTTGAAGCTGTTTTGCATCTCATCCAAGAAGCTTCTTCAGTTCTAACTGTAGTTATAGTTGACTTAAGGCTGGGTTAAGGTTAGAACTGAGGAAGCTTCTTGGTTGAGATGCAAAACAGCTTAAAGGGAAAACAGAAAATCCAGTTGCCTTTAAAATAAGGGCACTTTTGGATCTATCTATCTATCTATCTATCTATCTATTTATCTATCTATCTATCTATCTATCTATCTATCTATCTATCTATCTATCTATCTATCTATTATCTATCTATCTATCTATCTATCATCTATCTATCTATCTATTATCTATCTATCTATCTATCTATCTATCTATCTATCTATCTATCTATCTATCTATTATCTATCTATCTATCTATCATCTATCTATCTATCTATCTAT